CCTCTTATCAGTGCTGGAATCCCATGGCCAATAACTGCTGTAGAGAATGCAAAGAGACAACTTATCCAGCAATTAAATGAAAGCACATGCAAGAGTCAGCCCCACTCTACTCCACCTGCCCACGTTGCCCATCCTGTGCTGGTTCTTGAACAGATGATGCCTGCACATTTACATCCACTTGACATTTGCTTTCACCAGTGCAAACTCTGCATCGAGTCATGCGGTCCGTAGGCGTTTCCTAATAGTAGCCTCCTCCCTCCCCAGGTGGGTCACACATACTGGTTCCCTTTCCTTCGCCACGAAATTGTGAACTGCCAGGAACCAGCAGGATTTGTGTTGAGCTGTGATGGTAGGGTGTAGGGTTCACATGTACTGTGCTTCTTCTCTTTCTTAGTGCTACTGAAACAGGGGTCTGGAGAGAGCAGATGCAGCACTACTAGCTCCATGTTAAAAAGAAAATTCATGACCCCTCTAAAAATCTGCAGAACCGACCCTCTTAGAGTGCCATGTCCCAAAGAATCTGCTTCAACAGGATCCCCAGGTGATTCACAGCTCATTACAATTTGAGAAATAATGTTTAACTAAATGACCCTCAATACTGGTTTCCCACTGAGGACCACTTGGGGAGTGTCAAGAAAAACCATCAACTGTGCTCTCCCGTCTCCTCAACATCCATTCTGTCAGTTGTTAAGCCTTAGGACTCATTTCAGAGAGTGGACCCAAACCTCTTGCCCATTGAGAGGGAAAGGGTCTATTCTGTGAGCGTTTTGTAGGGAGCTCTTGATCTAGTCACGTCCCCAATATTTTAGCAGGATTTCAGATGTTTCTCAGAGGGAATGTCTCCGAAGACAGGGGATGAGAAACTCACATTATGACCTTCAGATCAGAGCTGTTTGTCCTTGAATCTCTCCTGTGGCAGAGGACAGGGAAGGGGAGTCTTCTCTGCATTCCCAGGTCCTTCTGCGTGTTGTTATGAAGGTGGCAAAAGAAGCTGTATTTGTTTGCTATGTGCAGTAACAAGGAGAGGAAGTGAGGGGCTTAAACAAAAGATGTTTACTGTCTCACAGTTCTGGAGGCTGAAAGTTCAAGATGAAGATGTCAGTAGGGCCATGCTTTCTCTCAAGCTCCTAGGGGATAATCTGCTCTAGGCCCCTCTCCTTAATTCTAGTTCCTTGGCTTATGGCAATATTAACTCCGATCATTGCCTGACGTGTTCCCTGTGTGCATGACTGTCTCCAAATTTCTTTCTTTTATAAGAATACCATTCATTTGGATTAGGGGTACACGCTAATCCAGTATGATCTCATCATAACAAATTATATCAGCAAATACTCTATTTCAAATCAGAATACACTGTAAGGTACTGGGGGTTAAGACTACAGCACGCTAATTTTGAAAGAACACAATACAACCCTTAACAGAAGGAGTATGTTGGTATGATAAAAAAGGAAACTTTGGCAAACGTGGTTTTTCAAGAGAATAAGAAATAGGGCTAGAGATGAGAGAAGGGAAAATGTCCTTCTCAGGCAAATATTGAGTCCCAGGTCATATGCTGTGTGCTTGCTTGCTCCTGACATTCCATGATTTTATAACTTGGAAAGCTTTCCTTCTCTATCTCTGAGATATTGAGCCAAGGACAGAATGTTAGCTGCATGTGGGCATGTTTCTGTGTGTGTAGTATTATTTCAGATATAACCTCAGATATATTCTCCAACTTCATAGGAAGTAGGATATACCTCAGTGATGACAACTGTTGCATCTATAGATCAAAATAGTATTGGTTATGGGTAATTCCTGAAGACTTTTACTTCATGTTGTCATGGAAATATTTGACTGTTAAATCTGTTCCCGTGTATATCACTTGAATTTTACTGACATAAGAAATTGCTGCAATTTTACCAGACTAACGCAACACCCGTTTTATTTTCTTATATTTCTTTATTGGAAATCTGACGGACTTGGCTGAGTTTTTAGATTAGGGGGTCAACAAGACTTAATCAGCCAGCCTGGGCTCTATTCTCAAAATTCTGAAGAACAATCCACTTCCAGGATCTGAAATTGTTGGCGGAATTCAGTTCCTTCTTCTAGGTTCCTCCTGCACATATCTCAATCCCATCTTCAAGCCCAGTGATAGCATGTTAAGTCACTCTCATGTTCCAAATCTCTAATCTCCTCTTATATCCCATCTCGCTGCCATCTCTTTCCATATGAGAGGCTCTTGTAACATGTTGGGTCCACCAGATAATCGAAGACAATCTGACTATTTTAATTTCAGCTGATTGCTAACCTTAATTTGAACTCATAATTCCTTTACGATGTATCAATTATGAGCATCCAGGTTACATTACACAGAAGGTTGGAGATTTGCCTATAGCATTATATGAGCCCAGGAAATTGGTTGCAATAAAACAAAATTACTTTTAAACTATCAATATATCTAAAATCTATTTCCACATATGCCTCCTGATGTTTTCTTATACGATAGAGGAAAAGGAGAATATGTCCTTAAAATTCTTCGCTATCTTATTATGTGTCATGTTTTATGGTAAAGCTCAAAACATTAGCTTGTAAGAGCACATAAACTTTAGAATAAAGTGTTACATTTTAGAAATACCACAATAAAGAAAGATATTTTTGTTACGTCTATCTTTGGACATAAAAATTCTGTGATGCTAAAGTTTTTGAATCTGTAAGCAGGCATTTTTAAGGGATGACTTGGCACAGTTTTTCAACACTGAACCCTGAATACTAGTAGACAGCCTCTCGTGTTAGACCTCCTATTTGATACTGTACACAATACCACAAAAGGAAAGAGAACACACCGTTGAGAGTTCTAAATCCCAAATTTTGTGTCCTTATCTCTACTGTAGATTCAACTTAAGGAGTATTCAGGAACATCTTATATGACCAAGATTGTCGTTCCAGAACTGCAATGAGAAACCATAGGAAATGAAAACAGTTATTGAAGAGATACCAGCAATCCCATATCCATTACAGTATTATTTACAAAAGTAGTGACAAAAGCCAAGATATGGAAGAACAGGTGTCTGTCAATGGAAGAATGCGTAAAGAAGATGTGATATATATGTACCATGAAATATAATTCAGACATGGGAAAGAAAGAAATTCTGCCATTTGAAACAACATGGATGGACCTCAGAGGCACAATGTTTCATGAGATAAGTCAGAAAGAGAAAGGATAATGCTGTGTGATCTCACTTGCATGTGGAATCTAACATAGCCAAACTCATCAAATGACAGAGTCAAATGGTGCTTACCAGGGGCCGGGGCTTGGGGAAACAGGAGAGAGGTTGTTTTTGGCTTCAAACTTGCAGCTAGTAGACAAATAGGTCCTGGAGATCTAATGCACAGTATAGTGAATACAAAACACAACGTTTTATTGTAATCATGAAACTTCTTATGAGTCTAGATCTCCATTATTCCAAACACTGAAAGAAAAGATAATGAGGTGATGTGCTAGAGGTGCTATCACTCAGTGATAATCGTATTACAATATGTAAATGTAGCAAATCAATACGATGTACTCCTTGAATTTACACAATGTAATATGTCAAATGTATTTCATTAAAGATAAACATATATGACTCCTCATTTTTCATCATAAGTGAAGGAATAGACAAATGAGAGAATCAATGAATGGCCTCATATCTGTCCTCCACCAGCTCCGTCTTCCTAGGCTCATCCGACCTCGCACTCTACCTCTATGCTCCCTTGTACATCTTCATCTGTCCACCTGTGACCTTTAGACATCCAATAAAACTCTACATGCACTCCGACCTCCACGGAACCCTCTTGACTTCAGTATTGCACTCTCCACCTTCAGCTTGTGACCTTTTTCACCTCCAAACCTCTGTGACCAGTATTCTAGAGACCTCATTCTAACCCTCCTCAGCCTTTGTCACCTCTGCAAAATCTGTCTTGCATGCCCTCCTTTCTCTTGCCTTCTATCTGCTCTCAATTCTGATATCTTATCCCATTCCCTGGGACTTCTATGCCCTGGCACCCTCATTCATCCCAGCTCTGAAGTCATAGGCATCATCAGTTGCCCCAGAAACCCAGTTTGTACCATGCACTCATTGCATCGAACTCTATAATTCTGGACACATTCTCCTTGTCTTTTTGGCTCACACATGCCCACTGACCTTTACTGTCTTATTGTCCTCTGCCCATTTGGCCTTCTTGCCTGTGCCCACCATTTCCCCTAGTGCCATCTCCTTTTCCCCACATTCTGCCGAAATTCAACTGTTATCATCTACCAAAATCTCTCTACCCTATCTGAATTCGCCTTCCCTCCAAACAATGGTGTTTAAATGAAGCCCCTTCTGGCACTTCCTCACTTTTGACATTAACTTCCCCTCCCGATTAGCATTTTTATTCCCTTGATCCTATCCCCCCTTGATCTCTTCAGATCTCCAAATCTCCCACCTTTCCTTCATTGCACATTTTGCCTGCTCTGTCTTTCATCCCCAGCATTGCACTTTAATACTTCACCAGTATTAAAAACCATTGCCTTTTCTCTTTCTGTTCACTCCCTTGCCCTGTACTCTCTATAACTCCAAGCCCCCTGGCTCTCGGCACCCCCATATTATGTCTTCTTGGTCCTGTGGCCTATTCTTACTCCACTCTATCACATAGGCACTTTCACTCCCCCAAAAACCCAAGTTTCTCAGTATGTGTCTTGACGTAAGATGACAACGCTCACAGCACATTTTAAGTGCTGTGCATTGTAATAAATATGGCCCTTGTGATTGTTGCAGGGTTATCAAAACTATAGAGGGCAGCATGGCCCCCCTTTTTAGGCATCCAGAAGTCTGTAAATGCAACTACTCTTCTGTATAAGATCATGCAATTGAGATACACCCATGCTTGGTGACTGTTATTTTATGAAGAAGTGTAATTGTGAGTTTATGGAAGTGTATGTATTTATAATTGTTTACATATTTAAGTGTAAATTTTATGTGATCAATATGTGCATTATTTTTTGTGTGTCCAATTAACATTGTGAGAGCATGTAAGTGTGTATGTATATAAGAATGTGAATGTGTGACTATAAGTTTGAATGTGTGAAGAAATGTGCATGCCTGTGTGTTTTTGCTTCTGTGTGTAGATGAGTGTATGTAAGATGGATTGTCCAGCTTTATGGCTCTGCCAAGTGACTTGACAAGGGGGGATAATAGATCCCTTTTGAACTTGCATCAGAGTTGATTTGTTTGTAGGAAAACCTACAGAATTAAATTCAACTTGCAATTTATAACTGTATTTTGTTCTGACCAACCAAAAATATATTTCTTAAATTTAAAAACATAGCTTCTTCCTGAAAATATTGTAAAAAAAAAAATAAGGATAGAGGAGTGTGTTGACAATTTGATGGTCTTGAATTAAGGAAGTAGCATTGGCTTATCTGATACTTACAAGCATGGTGGAATCTCCCCGTTAAGGCATCTGATTCTGGTGCTTTCTATCTGAGGGACTGTTTTAAAAACTTCTCTCACTATTTTATGGATATTTGTATGATTCTGCTTCCTATCACAAGTAAGGGTCAGTATTGGTAGAGTTTCCTTACTGTTTACACATTCATTGACATTGAGGTGTGCAAATGAGTGCAATGACATCTAATGTAAATTATTGGTATCATGTCCCTCTTCTTGCATCCTTTTTAAAACACATTTCTTTGAACATAACTGATGATGCAACTTAGCTGTGTGAAGTTAGAAAATAGCTCACTTTAGCTAGAACATCTGGGGGAAATAGAACATCCACTGAGATACACATACCCACTGCCAGTCGATCAAATGTGAGACCTAAGTATTTCCTGCCCTGCTCCATGTGAGACACTGTCTGCCTCCAGGGTTCACGGAAAAGTATGTCCGTGCCTCCCACACACACACCAATAGTCTCTTAGGGGATGTTAGCTAGAAACTTGTAGTTGTTCATGGTAGTTAGCACCTGGGAAGAAAGTTTTGAAAAAATATTCTCAGCTCCCAAGCCTGTTACTGCCAATGATGCTACAAGTGAAATGATAATTGCGGTTCTGAGGGGAGCCGAGGTCACAGAATCAGAAACTCATATATCAGGGTCTAGCTAATTCTGTCACACGTGTACTGACTGCTTTGACCTTCATGCTAACCCCACCATGCCAGCAGCAGGGAAAAATGGGTGAGTTTTAGATTTATTCATCTGAGAGTTAGAACCTGTAAGAGAAGGAGTTGTATCAGGAATCTGGGTAAGTGAATGTAATGGACAAGGCAAATGTTCTTTCATGTACCTGGTCAAGTGCCAAAGCCAGGTATGAAGACGGAATAAATCTTGAGGATAAACTGAGAGAGATATCAAGAGAGATGTGTTCCTAGATCTTCCAGCAATCCAGCATGTCTCAAAGGTAGTGACAGTGGTTATTATGGTTTAATCCAAGTCATATAAAATTTGATATTGATGTGCTTAAGGACTGTAGTTCAGGTGTCAAGCTGCTGTTCAGCTTACTTACAGAATCATAGACATAATCTTCAGGTTTCTAGAGGTACACTGAGGGTACCTGAATTGTTGTAATAAAGAGTATGATGAACATACAAGGATCAGTTGATCGTGTGCAGTAACAGTGTGTCTAGCAGCAGTTGCTGGAGAAGAAATGTCTTCTCTAACTCTGAGTGTATGAAGCGCTTAACAGATTTCATGGTAATGTCTCTATCGATTATAGACAGACTTTTCCCACTTAAAGTGAGTAAGCAGCACTTTAAAAAAATATAGCAATAAGTTCAGAAAATATTTTTAGGCTCAAATGCTTCTTTTGATACTTCTGATGCTTTTAAATATTATAATAGTATATATTAAGAGACCCAAAAATGTATATAATTTACACAATGCATGCTCTTTTCCTTGGCATCACATCATTGCATGTTGCCTGTGTACCTTGTACTTTAATCTTTTTCACAAATCTTTCATTCCTGCTAATAATTTCATCTAACATAGGTATAAATAAATGACATGTATATGATTTGAAATTAGTAATAATTTGTTTCTACCATACACTGTTTATCAGGCATCAGTGTTTCTATCTCATACTTCCTGTGACTCAGAGCATTGTCCTTTTGTTCCTGAAATCAATGCAAATGAATCTTTCTTTTCCATCCTAATGTTGAGGAATTCTTGCATCTGTTAAACTCAACTTGTACTGGGACTGGATCGTGCAGTTTTATCCTGCAACTAGGGCATCTACATTTTATTAAGATCTGTAAAGCTTTAGTCAAAGTCTATATCTGCCTCTCAAATGTCTTCATACATAAGTGAAATCTCATCATTACCAAATATAGATAAAATATCACCAATCTAAGTTGAAATGACAAGATCGAAAAGCAAAACTGAATTTAGATCTGGCTTATTTGAAGAACAAAACTATTAATTTAGTGTATTATGGATTAAATGCACCACTTTATTGCCAGGTTAAAATCCCCACTGTGTTCTCAACCAGTGTGTTAATTTAGATGAAACACTTCACCTCTCTGTCCCTTTGTTGTCCTCATCTTTATAAGGAATGTAACAGTGGCTGCCTCATGAATTTGTGAGGAATAAAGAAGTTACTGCATCTGTGACCTTCATGGCAGTATTTCTTACATTGCAAGTGTTCATTCATGATTCTACTTTCAATTCTTGGAGTCCTCTGAAGGACAGAAAAAACTTTAAGTAATTATTTCTACGTAGGATTTGTTGGTAAGTGGAGTAAATTGTATTTCAGTTGACATGATTCCTGTGGCCCACACCTCCTATTCCTCTGCAGGATCCTCTGGCTCAGAAGACAAATATGAGGCATTGAGAACTGAGAGGATGGCCGCCAGGGATTTGGCAATAGGGACGATTCTCTTATTACAGACTACATTCGGAATTGTGGGGAATTTCTTTCTTCTTTGCCATTATCTTTTCCTTCATTTCACTGAGTGTAGGTTAAGATCCACAGATTTGATTATCAAGAACCTGATTGTAGCCAACTTATTGGTCCTGTTATCTAGTGGAATCCGCTATACATTGTCATCTTTTGGAGTGGATCCTGGTCATCCTGATTTGGAATGCAGATTTTTGCCCTATCTTTGCGCAGTGGGCAGGGGTGTGTCCATTGGCACCACCAGCCTCTTGAGTGTCATCCAGGCCATCATCATCAGCCCCAGGAACTCCAGATGGACAGAGATTAAAGGGGAAGCTCTGAAGTGCATTGTCCCTTCAATTACCCTGTGCTGGGCGCTGCACATGCTGATAAATATCATTTTTCCTATGTTTATGACTATCCGTGGGAGCCACAAAAACACCACAAATAGAAAAAATTTAGGATACTGTTCTACTGTTCGTCATGACAAAACCAGAAACAACTTATATGCAGCATTGCTGTCATTCCCTGATGTTTTCTGTTTTGGACTTATGTTCTTGGCCAGTGGCTCCATCGTTTTCATCCTGTACAAGCACAAGCAGAGGGTGAAACATCTTCATAAGACCAATGTCTGCCTCAGAAGCTCCCCTGAGTCCAGAGCTACCAAAACCATCCTTGTCCTGGTAAGCACCTTTGTCCTTTTTAACACCGTTTCCTCCATTTTTTATGCACTATTGGCTCTTGTTAATAATCCCAGCTCGTTCCTCTTGGCGGTCACTTCAGCAAGCACTCTGTGTTTCCCAAGTCTCAGTCCCTTTCTGCTCATGAGCCGTGAATCCAGGGTATCCAGGGTGTGGTTTGCCTGGACAAAAAATACAAAATCCTTCAGGCTGGCCCACTTGTCTAGTGGTTAATTTAGCACACTTCGCTTCAGTGGCCTGGGATTTGCAAATTCAGATCCTGGTTGTGGGCCAAGCGTCACTTGTCAAGCCAAACTGTGGCAGGATCCCACAGATGAAATAGAGGAAGGTAGCCACAGATGTTTGCTCAGGGCCAATCTTCCTCAAGCAAAAAGAGGAGGATTGGCAATAGATGTTGGCTCAGGACCTATCTTCCTCACATAAAAAAGTAATAATTTTTAAAAAATACAAAATCCCCTAATCTAATGAGAAACATGAAAATTGTCTGTATTTCTACAATGTTCATTAGATAGCTCACTCATCCTCCTCAGAGTCCTAAGTACAGTTATGTCTCGCTGACCACAGAATGTAAACAAGACATGCTGAATTTCTTCTTCAAAATAAATAATAGTTTGGAATAGTAATTGAAATGTAATCACATATTTATCATGGATAAAACTCAAGTGATTGATGTGCTGCTAATACTTGCAGTAGAGGACTGCAGAATTCATGCAACAATGAACACTGAGTTCTAAATCATCTGGACATTTTGGAGGATGCTTTGACTGTGTAACTTCAATCTATTACAGCAAATTCCCCAGAGATGAACTAGGCACAACATTTTTAGAAAAGATGCTTAAAAATAAAATAGCATGGGGGGACCGGCCAGGCCGCGGCGGGCGCTGTTTCTCTTTCACTTTCCTTCCCTCTGAGGCCGGCGCGCTGGCGGGCGAGGAGCGGCGGCGGCCGCGGCCGCGGGATATGGAAAAGCAGAACCACCAAAAGGAGTGATGACCAGTGATCTCATGATAAATCTGGATGTCAGTTCTCATGCCTCAGGACATCCAGTTGGGAACTCCACACCAGCTCCTGGCATCAGACTTTCATCTACTTAATACCCCTCTTTGCCTGTACTACTAAAGCCAGTTATAGCTGACCACGAATGGCTACCCAAAGGAAACACTTGGTAAAAGATTTCAATCCTTACATCACCTGCTATATCTGTAAAGGGTATCTGATCAAGCCAACTACAGTGACCGAATGCCTCCATACCTTCTGTAAGACTTGTATTGTCCAGCACTTTGAAGATAGCAATGATTGTCCAAGGTGTGGCAACCAGGTTCATGAGACCAATCCATTAGAAATGTTGAGGTTGGACAATACGTTAGAGGAAATCATATTTAAACTGGTCCCTGGACTACGAGAACAAGAACTTGAGCGTGAATCTGAATTTTGGAAGAAAAATAAGCCTCGAGAAAATGGACAAGATGATACTTCAAAAGTTGACAGACCTAAAGTTGATGAAGAAGGTGATGAAAATCAAGATGATAAAGACTATCACAGAAGTGACCCACAAATTGCTATATGTCTAGATTGTTTACGAAATAATGGACAATCAGGGGACAATGTAGTAAAGGGTTTAATGAAGAAATTCATTCGGTGTTCTACACGTGTAACTGTGGGAACTATTAAAAAATTTCTAAGTTTAAAACTAAAACTTCCAAGTTCTTATGAGTTGGATGTGCTGTGCAATGGTGAAATTATGGGGAAGGATCATACTATGGAATTCATCTACATGACGAGGTGGCGACTAAGAGGCGAAAACTTTCGGTGTCTGAACTGCTCAGCTTCGCAAGTCTGCTCTCAGGATGGCCCTTTATATCAGTCATACCCCATGGTATTGCAGTATCGACCGAGAATTGATTTTGGTTAGACCAAGGGCCCTAGATGCCACTGAGATGAATCCTGCGCTGTTTGTTGACTCATCGGCAGATTGCACAGGGACCGGTGTGTGGACCAGAGGGACACAACCAGATTTCTCAGCATGCAAATAAGGCCATTGTCTGTCTCTAAATTGTCAGTTGCATTTATGTTGTTTCTATTAAGAGCAAACCAAGTGCCATTCTGCTACTGAACCATCCGCATAAGGTATCTGTGGTGTCTCACAGTGTACAATACACGTCACGGTGGAAACAAGTTAGCTGTGCAGCCATGATTCGGCCTTTGGAATATTTTGCTTGCCTGTTCCAAGATTGTTCTAATGTTTAATTACACTAGTAATATGGCTCAAAAAAAAAAATAAAATAAAATAAAATAGCATGTTGCTGGTCATAACTGAAACTGAAGACAAGGGTGCTGGAGAGGAAGTTTAGCCAATGAGTAAAGTTTTTTGGAGTGAAATGAGTTTTGTACATTACATCCTTCAGGAAGCAGGAGTCATTTATTTGAAAGATGATGTTGTGGTTGGAGGTAAGCATGTTTAAACATTTAACATTTTCAGGTAGAAATGGCCAGCTTAATCTATAGAGGGGCAAATGATAGCACAAAATTAGATTTTAGCTGATTTTCAAATCACGTGATGTGAGTGGGACAATTTTAAAGACACGAATTGCATGGAATTGGGTTCTGTAGAAGGCAGTGTTTTCTCTTTGGGGAAGACGATTTGGGCATGTTGGCAATGAAGAGGTTTGGAGGTGCACACTCCAGTCTCTAAAATGACTAAATAGATGGCCATTAAATTTGGAGCATGGTAGGGAGAGGTATTTTGAAGGGAAAGACATGAGTCCATTCTATTTATGTGGAGTTTGTGACTCCTTGATTTTCAAGGAGGAAAGTGAGTATTTCCTTAATTTCAGGAGAGGTTTTTAAATAGGTTTCTCTGTATTTACATTCTGAAGCTGATGCAAAGTACTGAAAATTCAGTAGCTTAAATTACAAAGGTATTTTGAACTAAATGATGTATATTGGTTCTTGTATGACAAATGGAAATCATTCTTTTAGCTCACACAAGCTACTTCAATATTTCGCACAAATCGTATCGTTAAATACTAGAAAAAAACACATGTGGACACACACATAAGTACAATTGTGATGATAAATGTATATGTCTGAGTGTAATTTCTGTGTGTATTTGTATCTGTGTGTGAATTTTGAATATATATGTATATATTCATATACATATAAAGTCAACTATCTTTGTTATCAATCATTCAATACATTGGAAATTTGTACATCAAGAAAAGAATTAATATAGTACTAATTACAATAAAGACAAATCTTAACTTGTATGTTACTTGATGGTATATTGCTATGCTAGTTCAATTGTTAAAATTCCATAGAATGAATTTTTCACTTTCCTACTTTAATTTTATTATTTGGCCATATCTCTTAAGAAATCCAATGAACATAGTGAAAAATGTTTGAGTTTAAAACATATAATTGGTCCATTTAATTTTATATAATATAATTTTATAATGTAATATATTATAATAATATAGTATAATGATATAATGATGTATACATTTCAGTGTCAGTAGAGTTTATTTTCTTATTTTATCTAACTTCTGCTGTATTCATTTATAAATATGTCTACATTATAATTCTTCATTATGATTGATCCCTTTTCTTTTAAAGTTGTATGCTCATTATATGTTAATTTTTGCCTAGAAATGTCAATATAAATTTAAAAGTTAATCACAGTGTCACTCTATTTAAGACTCTAAACCCTACCTTTACAATATAAGGGCTGTACAACACTAATGTACTCACCATATCCCACCTTTCTGATTGGTGATATATATTTCCCAAATTTAAAGACACAACCACAGTTCATAAGTGCATAGCTCAAGGGCAGTTCACATTTCTGTTCTCAGTACCTAGTTCAACCAAGGGAATTTCGTCTAACAGACCCCTAGAAGTCCATCATGGTCCCTTCCAGTCACTGCTCTTCAGGGGAGTCACTGCTCATCAGGGGAGCCACTGCTCTGGCATGTAACAGCACAGGTCACATTAGCCTCTTTTGCAATCTATATGGAAAAATAAATAGAGCCTTTACTCTTTTTATTTTTATTTTTTGTTATCCCTTATATTGTTTGTGAATGTATTACTGCATGTTCCTGGTAATCATTCATTTGCATTGCAGTATAGGACTCTAGTGTTTGAATAGAAAAGAATCATTCCACTGTTAATAGGCTCATGGGTTGTTTTCAGTTTGGGACTATTTAAGACATGTTTTGATGACATGTGCCAATTTCTCTTGGCTATTTATGGAATAGTGGAATTATTGGGTGTCATGTTTATGCCTCTTTTTTTTTTATTGAGTTATTGATAGGTTACAATCTTGTGAAATTTCAATTGTACTTAATGTTTGTCAGTCATGTTGTAGGTGCACCACTTCACCCTTTGTGCCCACCCCCCACCCCACCTTTCCCCTGGTATCCACTAAACTGTTCTTGGTCCATAGTTTTAAATACCTCATATGAGTGGAGTCATACACAGATTATCTTTCTCTCGCTGGTTTATTTCACTTAACATAATTCTCTCAAGGTCCATCCATGTTATTGCAAATGGAATGATTTTGTTCTGTTTTGCAGCTGAGTAGTATTCCATTGTATATATGTACCACATCTTCTTTATCCATTCGTCTGTTGCTGGACACTTAGGTTGCTTCCATGTCTTGGCTATTGTAAACAGTGCTGCAATAAACATTGGGGTGCACAGGACTTTTGGGATTGCTGACTTCAGGCTCTTTGGATAAATACCCAGTAGTGGGATGGCTGGATCGTATGGTAGTTCTATTTTTAGTTTTTTGAGGAATCTCCATACTGTTTTCCATAGTGGCTGCACTAGTTTGCATTCCCACCAGCAGTGGATGAGGGTTCCTTTTTCTCCGCAACCTCTCCAACATTTGTTGCTATTAGTTTTAGATATTTTTGTCATTCTAACGGGTGTAAGGTGATATCTTAGTGTAGTTTTGATTTGCATTTCCCTGATGATCAGCGATGATGAGCATCTTTTCATGTGCCTATTGGCCATCAGTATATCTTCTTTGGAGAAATGTCTGTTCATGTCTCCAGCCCATTTTTTGATTGGGTTGTTTGATGTTTTGTGATTGAGTTGCGAGAGTTCTTTATATATTATGGATATTAAGCCTTTGTCAGATATATGACTTGCAAATATTTTTTCCCAGTTAGTGGGTTGTTTTTTTGTTTCAATCCTGTTTTCATTTGCCTTGAAGAAGCTCTTTAATCTGATGAAGTCCCATTTGTTTATTCTTTCTATTGTTTCCCTTCTCTGAGAAGGTATGGTGTCCGAAAAGATCCTTTTAATACTGATGTCAAAGAGTGTACTGCCTACGTTTTCTTCCAGAAGCCTTATGGTTTCAGGTCTCACCTTTAGGTCTTTAATCCATTTTGAGTTTATTTTGGTGAACGGTGAAAAAGAATGGTCAATTTTCATTCTTTTACACGTGGCTTTCTAGTTTTCCCAGCACCATTTGTTGAAAAGACTTTCTTTTCTCCATTGTATGCCCTCAGCTCCTTTGTCAAAGATAAGCTGTCCATAGATGTGTGGTTTTAATGTTTACGCCTCTTTAGCTTTAGCTGATAGTGCCAAAGAGGTTTGGGAGACGTTTATACCAATCTCCCCACCCACCAACCGTGTAAGAGACTCTTGGTTTGTCCACATCCTTTTCAAGACTTTTATTATTTTTTCTCTTCTCTTTTCTTCTCCCCAAAGCCCCTCAGTACATAGTTGTATATTCTACTTGTAGGCCCTTCTGGCTCTGCTATGTGGGACGCCACCTCAGCCTGGCTTGATGAATCGTGCTAGGTCTGCACCTAGGATCTGAACTGGTGAAACCCTGGGCTGCCGAAGCACAGTGTACAAACTTAAACACTCGACCACAGGGCCAGCCCCAAGACTTTTATTCTTTTTTCTCTTTTCTTTTTTAGGCTTCCAGTGGATGTGTGATAGTACCAAACAGTGAATTAATTTGCATTTTCTTGATTATTATGTAAGTTGAGCATATTTTCACTTATTTCTCGTCCATTGGGCCACCTCTGTTTGAACTATGTGTTAGTTTATTTTGTAGGTTTTTTCTATCATGTTGTTGTTTTCTCATTAATTTGTTGTGGTTCTCATTATGAGCTGCACATGTTTCCTTAATTGTAGCTCATTCATGCTTTCTTTATTTCTGTCTTTGTGTGTGTATGTCTTGATGAAGAGAAAGTCTTAATTTTAATATAACTCGATATTTCCTCCTTTGTAGGTAAACTTTGTCATCGTGTTTAAGAAATATTTTCCTATTCTAAGACTGCTGAGGTATTCTTTTTTCATGCTTTATAGAGCTCTAAAGTTTAGATTGGCAAGCCATTCAGAATGGACTTGTTGAGCGTGCAGAATATCAAATTATATATTTTTCTAAGCTAGCAAATTTCATTGGATTCAGAATATATATTATTATTCTTTCCTTACATTTGCTCTCCCCTCTCATTGCTCACCTAGGATAATATCACCTCACCTTTGGATGTGTCTCTCCTGTGAAGTGTCCTGGCAAATCTATGTCTTCTCCTGCCTCCTTCAGTATTTAACAACCCCACAGCACCACACAACCAAGGTCAGTCTTGGTACCAAAAATCTTCAATGGATCTTTTCACTCAATAAATTAATTATTCTCAAGATTGAAAGAGAAAGGAGACCATTTTCCTTAGGGGTCTCAAATTTCTTTCACATCTTGTGTCAGATACTGTTCTGGACTACCTTGCAAGGGTTTTTGAATAACTGCTTTCGAAGATGGCAATTGTGTCTGTCACAGGGGAAAGGACAGATTAATTAGCTGACAAATATAATAAAGATAATGCCTTCCTCAGAAGCAAAGGTTGGGCATTTGTACTTATAACCAACATTAAAAGCTTGAGGTTTGTTAACCTTAGTGTTCTCCAGATGTGACACCAGCCTAGTTTGTGTGCAGAATCTTCCTTGATCTCTTTGCGTGGCCCCCTTTGACCTTGTGGGTGCAATAGAGAGGTGAACACAAAGCTGTTGATGTCTTTTGGGCAACGATGAACAATGTCTTGTTTAAATTCCAGGAGTCTCCTAACCTGTCCTCCCATTCATGAAACTGGCAGACTAACTTATTGGTCTGCAATGGGGTAAAATATTGTACACTTTGGGGCTGGCCCCGTGGCCAAGTGGTTAAGTTCGCGCACTCCACTGCAGGTTGCCCAGTGTTTTGTTGGTTCAAATCCTGGGCGCGGACATGGCACTGCTCCTTAAACCACGCTGAGGCAGCATCCCACATGCCACAACTAGAAGGACCCACAACGAAGAATATACAACTATGTACTGGGGGGCTTTGGGGAGAAAAAGGAGACAAATAAAATCTTAAAAAAAAATATTGCACACTTGGCATTTCTTGGCATTTCTTCAAATGTATTTCTTGATAGTGAGGATAGGAGAGTGTCTGAGCCATACAACCAAGAGCCTTTGTGTATTGCCACATTATCAAAAGGAAGATAACTTGCTGAGGTAGTCAGAGCCTATCTCTGTCTGTTTGGGCGTTTGTAACAAAATTCTACTAATTGGGTGCCTAATAAACAACAATTTATATCTCCCAGTTCTGGAGGCTAGAAGTCTGGGCTCAAGGTGCCAGTTTGATCAGGTGAGGGCACTTTTCTGGGTTGCAGACTTCTTGTAGCTTTAAAAAGTGGAAGGAGGTAAAGGCGCTCTCTCGGTCCTCTTTTAAAGGGCACCAATCCTATTTATTAGGGATCTGTCCTCATGACGTAATCACCTCCCACATTCCAATGCCTAGTACCTCATCTTGGGTAATGAATTTCAATACATAAATTTTGAGGGGACATGACTAGACACTCTTAAAAATTCAATATCATCTTGTTATTCTCACATCAGAAGGTAACGGTAATTGTTCTATTATTTGTTTGTGCTTCCTTATCCCATAAGTGCCAGAGGGCTTTATCTCAATCAGGGGGAGTTGCAGGTGGATAAGTGTTGGTAAGACAGATTCCCCTTTCACTTGCACCCAGAGGTTGAGTAAAGATTAAGATCGAGTGCCACTAACTTGTGATGTACAAACATTTTGTTATGTAAGTGATATTCTCTTTGTTGGCAAGTTTGACAACTCTGTCTTAATAGCCCGTGTTAAAACAAATTTTCATCTGTCAGTCAGGATAGGAGGCTGAGAAAATCTTACCAAAATCCAGAGTCCCATTTTCCAATGAAAGTTTATTGGGAGTCTACGGGCATATTTACAATCCTCAACTCTTCCAGCAGTGAAGGAAAAACTGTAATCTGTCTCCTCATCTTACAGAAGGAGGCCCAGGTCTTACTCGATTGCCTGCCACTTGGGAGAGAGCACAAAGTTTTTGAGTGATGATTTTGTCATTTAGAGACTCTAGCAAAGGCTGGCAGCCTCCATCTCGAAGCCCCTCTTGATATATTAACTCAGGGCCACCCTGACACAATTAATAGGTATTCTCTTTAGACAGCAGTAATTAGCTTGCTAGTGAGCTGTCTTGTAAACTTAAGCGTGAGTCTTAGAAACCCTTTGACTCTTTAGCTTAATAAGGAACAAAAATTAAACTGAGTAAATTGAATGATCAAAGAGGCTTTATTCAATGATTCGTGAATCTGGGAGCATCCCACCTAGCAAACAGAAGGGAGCTCCAATGGGCTACAGAAAAGGAAACGGTTTTAAAGGCAAGGAGGGGGTGAAAAAAGGGAATTATTTCTAAAGAAAGCATTGCTGTAAGGTCACCATTTTTAGGGGAATCTAAGGAGTCTATGGGAAAGATTACCTCACTCGTGTTGACCACATAATTCCAGTTTGCCTGGTACAGTTTACATTCCAAGGGAGGTTGAAGTTACAATTAGGTATTAAGTTCTGGTTTGTTAATGTGGAGCTTGGCACAGGTAACTCCATTTGGGGCCTGCTGTCTCCTTCTTAACAATTTCTCAGTTTTGTGTAGCCTCTTAGATTAACTGAGCGATATGATCAAAATTAAAGGTATTAGAACCTCTCTCAGCTACCACTCACAGCTTTTATTGATCCTTTGGTTAATATCCACAGGTCACGATATGTTTGTTTAATCCCTCTTATAGTCACAGCTCATGGCTTCAGGCCCCAAATCTTTAAGTTGGTCATTCTCTTTGTTCCTTTTCTGATGTTCCAGGCTTAGGGAGATCATATGCTTGCTGTTTTGTAGCTACAAACATGCATTTAACACTTTTGAGAGAATACAACACACTAGGGAGATTATTATAAGCAGGATAATTTGCAATGTCTACAGTTCATGTTGAAGACACCGTCCCCAGCTCAAACCATTCAAAATCAAATAAGTTAAGGAAAGACCCTGCTGATAAAGTCACCTCTGTGCATGTAGCTCACTCAGTGATCTTATTTCTGAGCTTCAACTTCCCCAGGTGTGTTAATCCAGGTGCAGCAGGAGGTGTTGGCCACAGAAACCTCCTTGCTCACTTCAAAGACAGTCAATATATTATTGATTATGTTATTATAATCAGTAATAATCAATCTACCATCAAGAGCAACTTTGGCCAGAAAGTCTAAGGGTCTCTGTTGAGCATCTACTGTTTGAGCATCAGATTCTGTGTATTCTCAAGAGTTAAGAAGAGGTTTCTGCTCATATTCTCATTTACATTTTCCCCTCACCCCGGAAGTATGGCCTGGGCAAAGGAAGTCAATCCTGGGTCATGAACTCCTTCTGATATGTCCAGTCTCAGCTGATGATGTAGATCCAAGGGAATGGACCCATAAATTGTCTCCTTTTTTTGTGGCAAGTTAATGGCAGAGTTAGATAATCTAAGAAGCATTGCCCACCAATGCATCAGCCACCTAGGCATTCATAAGTCCAATGAGAAAGATAATGAACACAGACAAAAGCAAAGCCTGTCAGGGCACACACCATTCCTGGTAATTGTTGTTGAATCCATTTGCAGGGATTGGTGCAGTTACCATTTCAAGTCAAGGGTCAGTTAGATTTTCAGTATATGGAAGGGAAATGAGCTAGCCTGAAACAAAGAGTTGTTCTATATACCTTGCAAAGATGGATCCTGCTGTTGAGACCTCTTAATGTGGAGACAGATCAGATCTAGATAATCACAAGAATGTGAGGGTGCATATGTACTCAGATTTATATATGTAATTATGTCTAATTGGACAAATACAGTTATAACTGGAGAAAGGTTACATCGAGGCTCTTTATGTTCAAGTCATTAAAGTTGAACTCGGTAAGTGACTTTTAAGGAGGGTGAATCATTTTTCCAGTGACATTGGGAATGGAAGAGAAATTGATCACAGGGAACACTGGGGCTATCCCCATCATGGGTAGATTGGAATCTTTGATGAAATATCCAAGATCTGAAAATTACTCTCCTTCGCAATGGCATGAGAGATACCCATGAGTGTGTAATTTTTCCAGGGCGTTGGGAGAGTAAAGGATGGAAATAATGGCAGAACGGGCTTCATGTTTAATAAAATTATGAACTGTTGATCTGATTTCTTGGATGGAATCAGTCTACCTCAATGTCAGCTATTTCTCTTCCTTGTCAAGTTGATTTAGAGGACTCCAGCATTTGTACAGGACCAGATGTCAAGTGGAGCCTTCATTAAGTGTGAGACATGTGACTCAGGCTTAATGCCTTCTAATTTCACTCAGTGTCAAGGTCATGAGCACTTGGTAAGTACCCTTCCAACAGGACTTGAGAGCTGTCTTCCTCTGATGATGTGTCCAGAATACCCAGTCACCAAATTCCAGGGTTTGTACAACAGAATGCTTGGAACTGGGATCAGGAATGGTATTTTAACCTGTTACTGATAGGCTTTAGCATAAGACATTAAAGAGTTGCAGTAGCTGGTCATACTAGCATGAGACATCAGTGGGTCAGCAGAAAGTTATTTTCCAATAGACGTTGGTCTGCCAGTGACTGTCTCATGTGGAGTGAGCTTATATTTCTCAAAGAGAGTACTGTGACCAATCAGGAAGATCAAAGACAATATCTTAGGCCAAGGAAGTCCAGTCATTTCAGCAAGTTTAAAGATTTTAACTTTCAGGATCCCATGAATTCTTTCACCCTTGCCTGATGATTGAGGATGCTAGTGTCCTTGATAATTCCAAGAAGTTTGCAAGGTTTTTGTTAGGACTCATCTGACTTGCCCAGTGAAGTGGGTGCCTCAGTCACTGGAGACTATGGAAGGTATACTCCAATTGGGAAACATATTTTCCAAGGACTTCTTTGCCACTGTGGGGGCATCAACTTTGTGGCAAGGAAGGGTTCAACTCATCCTGAAAAACATATGCATAATAACAAGAGCATATTGGTAAGCCAAACCAAGTGGCTGTTGAATAAACTCCAGTGGCAGGTGCTCAAAGCGTCCAGTGGGAGGAGGTCTGAAGCATTTTGGGAAAGAAAATAGTTATTCCAGGGTTAAACAACTGACAGTTCAGAAATTTTGGGTAATCTGCTGTTGCAGTTTTATAGAGGTCTCCCCACCAATGTTTATGCCTAATTATAGTCATCTTAAATGCACCATGTGGGGTGAAGGAATGTAAAAAACTAAAAAATGGGTATGCCAGGGAGTAGGGTAGAACCAAGCGGCCATTTGGGTTTCCCAAAGCTCTGATTGTTCATTTAATTTACAATTGTTTGTCCATCTTAATTTATCTGATTTATGAGTAGTGTTGCCATGTTACAAAGGAATCAAGGTGGTGCAGTCTGTCAACAAGGACTTATGTCCCAAGGAAGCAGAAAGGAATTCATCCACATGTGCCACAATCTGTATAGATTCTGTCACCACTGTCTTTGTGTGAAAGTCAGGCAGGGGATTTTCCTGATAATCAGATTCAGTCATTTTAGTGTGAGCCTCAATTTTGATGATAGCAATTTCACAAGGTAAGAGAAGAGCAGTAAGAAGATCATTTACTTGTCCACTTTTGATTGGGGTGCCAGAGGATGTGAGAAAACCCTTTTATTTCCATAACATACTAAATTGTGGACAACCTCCAGGGCATATCACCTGTCAGTATTAATATTAAGAGATTGTCCTTCTAAAAATTGGCATTTTTTGTAAGGGCATGGGTCTCTTCTTGATCACCTGTTTCAGATTGCAAGAGGTTTCTCCTTTCAAGTAGTTCATATTGGGCAGTAATAGCATAACCAGCCTGGAAACTGCCTACTGTGTGTCTACAGTATG